ACTGGTGCCCTCTCCTTTAAAGTTGTCTTTAAAGAACTAGAGCCCCCAAAGCCAAGTTATCAGCAGACAGCTATGTTGAATAAGTCTAATGACACTGGTGCCTGCCTGAGTTGGAGGAATTCCTGGGAAGGCCCACAGCAATATAAGCACCAGGCTTCTTGTCCTCCCATAGGCCTAGGTTCATCCATTTGTTCATTCCAGTCTGTTCCACTGAACTCCTTCACTTACTTATTTGTGTAAGCAACATTTCTGATTCCATGGAAAGTCACCCTCACTGTCTTGACAGACTATGACCAGGATGGTACACTGATCCCTGAACCCCTTGTGGGTGGGCTTAGGGGGCAGAAGGCAGAAGCTGAAGGCAGGAAGCCTAGGGACTCTCCTCAGAACACCTTTTGGAGGTGAGCAGGTGGTGGCTCTCCTGATGTCCAGTCACTCTCCTAGGGGCCATGTGGCAGCCTCCCTGTTCCATCGACAGTGACCTCACAGGCCCTCTGCTCAAGGGCCTGCCAAGCAGAATGACCCACAATTCCCTTCTCCCAAAGAGCCCAAGTGACAGCTACACTTTCAAACCATATAACCAATCCTGTCCATGGGAAACCAAGGCTGAGGGAGAGACTCAGGCAGGTTTTGGACTGGAATTCCAGCTCTGATGTTTGCTTGTATGGAACATGAGCAAGTTACACTGTTTATCCTCCAAGCCGTGGTTTCCTCATCTGTGAACTGGGGATATTCCAAGTGCTGGGGCTATAAGTAACAGCCAACCTTTCTGAGAGCTTCCTAGGGCCCTTCTCTGATTGCTGTCATGGCTCCTGAGTGTTGGCTCCTCCTGAAAAGCAGTATATAGAAGTTCCTTCTGGGTTATTACTGGATGTACAATTCCTTTTATTTAATAACAAGAAACTTTATTGAATTACAAATTTTAAAATGCATCACAATTTAAATGGAAGTACAATTCTACAGATTATTTTCCTCATCTGTCTAGAGTCCATTAAATTGTGATTAGTAATTATTAAAATATTATTAAAGATCATGAAAATTTGATGACCCTAAATGGAAATTAGCAGTATCCATGTCAGGGTTTGATTGAGAATATGGCCACACCACACAAGTTCCTGGCACATAGGTGAACTCTCGGCAGGTGGGGCAGGAGAGCCCATGAATATGATAAGGCCACAGCTATGGCTTTCAACGGCTGTGGGTCTTAATCACTGATGCTTTGGCTTTTCTGAGGTAAGGGTCAGCCTGCAGCTCTGTGACATGGTCATTCACCAATGAGGAGCAGCGATGCCCATCACACCAGTAGTACTTGGGCCCTAGAATTTTCCAGCAACAAGGCTGCAAGCCCTGTGTGCACTGTGTGCCATCCCAACTGGAGTGTTAATGCAGACCATACACAGCTCTCCCCAAACTGGCTGGTCCTGGAGCACCTTGTGGGAGATGGACCACTTGCCATGAGTTTAGGCCACTCAAAAAGCTTGCTGCATCCTATTGAGGAACACATAACAACCTACTGGTCATTTTAGGGTTATAGACAGTGTTTCAGAAGATGAAATTGTGTCCACATGTTCGCCATCACACCTGGAGTCAATCAGCAGTGACTTACAGCTATCAAAAGTGACAATTCCATTCATCCTCATTTGACCCTTCTCTGGGTGGATGTCATGAAAGAGGTTGTTTCCTCTGCACAGTGGATGTGCACGGCTGGCAGGAGCTGTTGTCCCAGCCCACCATCCAGGCTGCCTCTCACAGTAGGAGCTGGTGTCTGGGGCACTGACACAGAATGGAGGGTGGGAACAGTAGGGAGTGCTGGCCAGGGTGAGCCATATAGCCCAGGCTAGGCCACTGTACTTTATCAGCTTCTCAGCAAGGGGGTGTCTCCAACTATGTGTGTACCCTCTGGTACAGTGCCGAGCTTTCTGAAGCCCTGATGGCTTTCTAGAGGCTGACTGGGGAGGGCAGGTGCTCCATACCCAGAAAGATTGTGGACAAGGAACACACTCCTCTGCTCCCCAGGCCCACCTTGAGGTGCGGATAACAAGACCCAGCTCTGATATAAAGCACCTGGCACTGAAGCAGCACTTGGGAAGCACAGTGATATGATGACACGTGCAGGAGTAAGGTTTGTCTGGAGAAACCTCATCTGCCTGGCAAAGTCCTCCAAGTACTCTCTACCAGCACTGCTACCCAGAGTGTCCTAAGTCATGTCCAAGAGCCTCCCAGCCTCACAGAGGCAACTTCATTGAAGAGAACAGTTATATAAAATGTGATGCTTTTCAACCTTGAAGTCCCCTAAGACTTTCTGTGAAGGCTCCTTGGGTGTCAGAATGAGCTATCTTTCAAGCTATTCTAATTTCCAAGAAATCTTCTGGGGAAGCACTGGGCCAGGAAGCAAATATCAGGACCCTTGTTTCTCAGGCCTGTGTGTACAGCTCCATAAAACACTATTTGCATATTACATTTCAGCTTCTACTCCTGAATCTAAGGCCCAAGTGTCCTTCCTGAAATTTAGGCAGGAGTCATTATGGGTCAAACCCAGGCAAAGGCATGTTTTATTTGGTTCAGACAAATTATTTTTTAATCAGAAAGTTTTTCATAAAAGTTAAATCAGATAATATTTGATCCCTGGCCCTATATTCCCATATAGCAAGTATTGTCTGGACCAGTCCTAACCAGTCACTATCACCTACCACCTGGCCTCTTAAACACCTGCTTGGACCTGCCAGCATCTGGTCTTGACACCAAGGTCTTGACACCAAGGTAGAGGACAGAGAGAGCTTCTGAGCCTGGAGGCCAAGGGGTAAGTGGAAGGATATCCAGAGGGCTCTCCAGTCTGCCTTCCCCAGCTGGGTCACCCTGAAGAGCCAGCAGGGAGGCCGGTAAGCTGTGTTTGAACCCAGCTGCATCCAGGAGCCAAGAGCTGGGACAGGCCCCTTGAACCACTCCCTTCTCTAGGGAGCCTTAAACTGTGTAGCAGCACAACCCTAGGCTTTTTCATCTCAGCACTCCAAACTTGCAGCCACAATGGTCTATCCTCCTCCACCTGGCACTGGATGGCTTGGGTTTACTGAGGAGTCCTTCACAATTAAGGCACTTCAAAAAGGTTAAAAGTAATTCTTTATGGGAGGAATCAGCAGGGAAAAGACAAGCAGGAGGTGGGGGTGTGCAGTGGGGGCGGGTGGGATGAAGGAATCTGACCAGTTATATTTAATAAAAAGCTTAAAAGCCACAAACAGGAAGCAGACCTATTAAACAGACAACATTGACCTAACAAAGGAATGTGAACTTGAGTTGACTGAAGCAGTGTCACCATATCTGCTCTCCTTTCCCTCCCAGCACCCAAGGCCCCCAAACAAGCTTCCTCCTGTGTTTTGCCCTGTTCTGGGAACACCCCCAACTCTGAGTTTGCCTTGTGCTAGAAGAAAGGGAGCTGAGGGAAAGGTCAGCATGATCCTATCTACCTCAAAAGAAGCAAACAGATATGCTCTCCCCTCTGTTTGTATCAGCAGAGCCCCAAGCAACCTGGGGAAGAGGAAAGTGCTCTGAAGTGCAGCCCCTCCCTTCACGCAGCTCTGCTCTTGCCCTCTCAACATCCTGAAACCTTCTTTTCCAGAGCGCTCCTAAAGGTGCTGGCCCAGGGCCCTGGGGACTGAGGCCTGTACAGTGCCTGGCTCATTCCCTATGTGTGATCCCCTGGAGCCCACAGCAGGACACTGGGGGTCTCAGTTTGGCTGAGATGAATACTGGAGCAGCTAAGCACTGGAGTGGGTAGAACGGGTGCTTGAAACTCAGTGTTAGAGCTATATGCTCACAAGAGTGTGTAGAAGGATTCTCTCCATAGGGTGATAAAGCTCAGTCCCACCTTGACAGGGCCTCAAGGCACAGTCAAACAGCAAAGCTAAGCATGCAGGGAAGCAGGCCTCTGGTGACCAGAAGCTTTAGGAAGGATTCAAGAGGCAAGGCTCCAGCCAGGCTTTAGGGAGAATACAGGTGCTGGCTTTGCCTGGTGAGTTGCCAGGGATCAAGGAGTCCTACTTCCTAGCTGAGGCCAAAGTACTACCCTATCTGGAGATTTTACTCAAAAAACTACCCATACATCTCCACACTCACGCCACTCCTGCTCAATGTCTTGTCCTCAAACACACACCAAGCTCATCCTCACCTCATGGTCTTCTCACTTGTCTCCCTCCCTCTCTGCAGCATGTTCTTCCCTAGGTATTTGTGTGGCTTCTTCCCTTCCTTCAGTCAGGCCTCCACTCCACTGCGACCTTTTCAGAGAGGTTTTCTTTGACTGCCCTGTCCAGACAGCACACTCAGTAATCCCCTCTCTGATTAATTTTTCCAAGTCTATCCTGAGGATTCCTCAGTCTATCCTCAGTGTGTCCATGCTTATTCCCTCCCATAACCACAGCACTATGTCTGGTACGCAGTAGGATGTCAGGAAAATGGGTATGGAAAGAGTGTAAGAGTGACGGAAAATCTCCAACAGCTCTATTTCCAGTAACAAACACTCACCCTTAACCCCACCATGGACAAAGCCCAACTCAGACCAAGGAGAAGCTCAGCAGAGGCTGCTGGTCTTGAAACGAAGTGGCAACTCACATTTTGGGAAATCCTACCTGCTTACTAAGGCAGTCGTCTCAATCACCAACTCTCTCCCTCCAAACCACCTGTCAGATCAGTATTATTATCCCTACTTCACATAGAAGCCATGTGACATATCTAATGTCACCCTACATGGTCACAGTGAAGTAAGAACTCACAATCAGACCTTGACCCTGGCTCAGACCAGATGCTGACTCCTCACCAGCCTCCTCCAGATTGCAAACTGGCTTTCCAGCCACAAACTGGTGGGACCAGAGGCCACAGTGGACTGAGCTCTACACATCAGCACAGACAGGCCTAGAACCCTGAGCCAAGGGGCACTGTCAGGGCACTGTCTCTGCCATTTGTCCATGGCCTGCCAGCACCCGAGAGCAAGAGAAAATAACCATACTCACCAGGGATGTGAATCTTAAACTTGCCACTCTGGCCGAAGGAGCTGTCAATGATCCCTAGCTCCCCAGTGGACAGTTGCACCTTGAGCCCCACAAATTGCTGGATGTTGGTCTCCTTTTTGAATAGGGAGCGGCCGATCACACTGTAGTTGTCTATTACCTGTTCCCACACACCCAGCCCCAGAGAGAGAAAGAATCAGTATGTGCAAAAAAGGCTAAAGCCAAGGCCCACCACACCCTCCCAGGTGATCAGTCCATCTTAGGGATAATGGAAGGCACTGAAACCATCATGATGGCTGGCCCATTGCCATTGTCACCACCCACCACCTACAGAGGATAGGCTGTGTGTCAGGCAGGGGTGAACACTTCATGTGGATCAATACACTTAACCCCATGGCAGCAACATGAGGGAGGCACTTTCTCCATTTTACAGATGTGGAAATAGACTCAGCAGAGTTAGGGTATTTGTCTAAGGTCACAGAGCTCATAGGGCAGAGGTAGCTGAGAATCCAAAGCCACCCTGCCTACATTTACCTCTGTGGGGCTACCATACCCTGCCTGCCCCCAGCTCTAGCCTAATGACAGCTAGTGGTACCCTCCTCATGAAAGTTTTACTGATACTGTGGGCTGAGAGCATGTCTACTCCTGAGCCTGCATCTAGGCTTACCAGAGCCCTCCTTATCCTCTTTCTCATTTCCCCTCCCATGAAGAGCCTCTGAGAAGCTGGTCTCTAGAGCTCCCCTACTACATGTACCATATTTTTGCCCAGAGGCTCCCTTCATGGCCTGGCCTCCATCTATCTCACAATCCCACTGCCCCCTCCTCTATGATGCCCTCCTGTCTCTATCTCAGCAGAAGTCCCATCTCCCCAGCTCCCAAGTGTTTGTGCTAGGCCCTCTGCTGCAGAGCTCACACCTGCTTGTCTCTTGGTGGAGGCCCAGGAAGAGAGGAGGAACATACATGTGTATAAAAAAGTCAGCTACGAACAGCCTTGATTTCATCATGAGCTGATCTTGGACCTTCTACCCAAGGGACTGAGTGTGGGAAAAGTTGAAGTACTACTCTCCCCATCCTAAGTCCACTCGAAGCTCAGATACTCCCTTCAGGAAAGAAGGTATAGCAAGAAGACCCTGACCACGTGGCCTCCCTGTCCTGCTCAGCTCCTTTCCAGGGCCTACACTAGAAAGCTGCTTAGCCTCTGTGTAAAAGAGAAGAGATGTGTGTGTGTAGATGTATGCATTTTAAAGACCAGACCTTTCCCTAGATGACCTTAGCAGGGTTGACAAAATTTCTTTCTGCAATTTTCTGCTCTTTGGGCCAGGGCCTATGCTTCACCTGGCCTCTGTCACACTGGGTCCTGCATGAGGGCCACATGAGGAATTGGGGAGTTCCTCCTGTTCTCTAGGCCCCATGCATAGGCCTGGGGTCTTTCTGGAAAAGGGGTCTGGCTCATGTAGGTGCTGGCATGGGCAACAGCAGGGAGGCCACAGGTGTTGCCAGTAGTGGGATCTGCTGCTTCCACAGGGCTCCCTTTGGAAACTCCTGGGAACTCCTGTAAGCTGGGTTCCCAGGAGTTTCTGCTCAGCTTCAGAAGCATCTTGCTTCTGCCCAAGATTCATCTAAGGGCCTCAGATGGATTATTTTGAAGAGGAGAAGTTATCTCATTTACCCTAAAAACCTTTTTGAAAAACATATCCTATTCTATTTGATTCACACAGCCAGATAAAAGCTACCTGCATTCCTCCTTTCCCAGATGATGGATGAATTGGATACAAATAATGATAATAATCATTTCTACTCGCATAGCCCTTCATAATTCACCAATCTCATCCCCACACCTGAACTCCTCCTCATTCTTCTGGACTTGGCTCCAGCAGAGCAACCCTTGCAGGCTGGGGCTGATGTGGGCTCTGCCCTTCCTCTCGGCCCTGCCCTGTTTGAGGGCACTGCTGCTCCCACTGCAGCAGGTGCCCAGCAAGACTGCTGAGTGAACTGAATGCAGATGGTTCCTTAGACCTGCAGGACAGCAGAGTCAGGACAGATTATCACCAGCCCCAAATGCTTTCCCAATTTTCCCAGCTCCCAGGACCCCAGCACCCTGGGAGGCAGGGCCCACCCATTCACATTCAGCAGCCCAGAAAGGCACAATAGGTGTTCAAGACTCAATGGCTCATTCCACATTCCCCATGACTGAAGGCACTCATTGCCCTTTCCTGTCCTCAGCTCATCCTCTGCTGCTGAATGAGGGGCTCCTCATCCCCCAGAGTCCTTTAGCCTCTAGGAGCCCCTCAGTCCTTCAGTCCTTCCTAGTCCCTCAATCCTTAGTGCCCCATCAGCCCTAAACCTTCAAAGCACCCTTAGACCCTTAGTCCTTCAGAGCCCTTCAGCCCCTCAACCCTCAGTGTCCCTCAGCCCCTCAGTTCCCCAATCCTCAGAGCCCCTCAGACCATCAGTCCTTCAGAACCCCTCAATCCTCAGAGCCCCTCAGCCCCCAATTCTCAGAGCCCCTCATCCTCAAAGCCTCTTCAGCCTTTCAGAGCCCCTCAGCCACTCAATATTAAGAGTCCCTCAGCCTATGCTCACCAAGGCATTAGGGGTCTCACTGACCCACTGAGCACCTTTGTCTACAGGGTTTCCATTCCTACTTCAGAGAGGGCAGAGCTGAGCTCAGAAACAAGACCTGAGTGGGCTGCAGCCACCCAAGTCAGAGGCACAGCAGAAATGCAAACTCAAGTCTGATGGGCCTTTGCAAAGTAGAGCAAGACCACAGCTGACTCATGCCAAGCTGGAGAAATGGAAATTGGATAAGATGTAAGACCTCTCCTGGCACTGCAGCTGGCTGAGAAATGAAAAAGAACAGTGTTCCCACAAGGAGCTTCCACCCTACTCAGAGAACTGCCTTCTAAAGGCACTAGTGGGACCAATCAAGCAACAGAGACAGGTGTTGCCTCAGAGAGCATTCATAGTACAATTCTGCCTTTCTTCCACTGTTAGCCTGCCAGGTACATGGCATGCAGCTGAGAACAAATCAAAGGTCCTATCCTTTGAACACAAAGGAATTCATGCATGTCCTAAGGAAAGGTGATGTTTACAGTCTCCTCTGTCCCACTGCCTGTGGACCGTGCATGGCAGAGACAGGGTGCCCTATCTCTGTGCCAGCTCCTAGTGTCCAGCAAGGGTCCTAGTCAAGGACTTCGTGACTGCAGTACTCCCACAGGCCATGACTCATTGCACCCTGTCCCCTCACCTCACCCCATTCTTCTACAACTCTTTGGCTTGTCTCTGTCTTCAGAGTGCAGAACATTCCTTGACATATGTCATACCTTTATGTGTTACTCTTCATTGCTCCCAACCAGGATACAAGGTCCATGAAACAGAAACATGACTCTCTGATCCATGGTGTGTTCCCTCACTGGATGCTCCATGAATGCAGGAGTAAATCCCAAATGCACACCTCACATGGTTGCTGGGACATGTGCAGTGCTTGCTCATGTCTGTGGTCTTTCATTTTTAATAGCTTCATTAAGGCACAACTGATATACAGTAGCATGTACATATTTAAGGTACATAATTTGGTAAGTTAGGATATATGTACATACTCATGAAACTATCACCACCATCAAGCTACTGAACATATCTACCACATTCCAAATTCCCTCATGTCCCATTATCACATTTCCCTCCCTCTGGCTCTCCCATCCTCTTTCCAGCTCAGCTTGGGCAGGCCTTCCCTTCAGGCAGCTTTCCCCATAACAGACCCCTCCTGCCCCTAGAGTCTGGCAGTTTTGTCTCATCATGGCAGTTCTATCTCATCACTGACAGCTGGCTTGTCAGTCTCCCTCACCAGACAGATTGGGAGTTCTGTCCAAATAGTCCTCACGCTGACCCATGGAAGGCCCCAGTAAATATACACACGCTATGGAGGTAAGGAGGGAGAGATGGGTGAGAGAAGGTGGCTCTTGGCTCTTTGGGGATAAATGTAAATCGTTTAGGTGGACATGTTGTTGGCAGATGTGCTCAGCGAAGAGTGAGCCAGCCCACCTGCTCTGGGCCTAGCTATCTCACACACCCAATGCTGGTCTCAGGCTGAAACACACATCGCCTACTGGTTGGCCTTCCCATGGCCTGGCACTGGGCTCCCTGGTACCCAGAGCCCTGGGGTGGCAGATATGCTAACTATTACCAAAAAGACCTTTCACAAGATGTTTCACTGCATCTCCTCTCTGCACCTTCCTTTCTTTAGGTTATAAAATATTAATTTAAAAAGCTAAATGCCACAGAGACAGCAGAGGATCCATCTTTCCCCAAGCCAGGGTCGTGCAATGAGGGCAGACTAATTTTATTAACTGCAGGGCAACTTCAAAAGGCTTCAGGGCTTTCATGGCAGACAGTGAAAACCCCAAAGTTGGTTTAAGTGCCACATAAACACAGGCCTAGGGCCAGGAAGTAGAGGGCTCTCAGCACTTCTTGTTTACATTCTCATTTGACCAAGTGGACCAGTGGGTGGGCTGTTGGGCAGGGGGCCTGTAAGCCTGTGATGCCATTCAGTTCACTGACCTACATTACCACAGTATTTTTGTAAGCATCAGGATAAGGTAAGGACTGAGCAGGCTTTTCATGACCTAAGGATGGCTCAAGGGGCTCCTCTTGCTGCTGGCCTCATAGTCTCACTGGTGCTAGAGTGGCAGTTTAGAAAGGTTCAAAGGGAGCATCTCTGTCATTCCTGTTCTCTTGTCTTATAATTTGTCCAGAAGACACAACAGTGCTGCTTGGGTGCTCCTGCTACCTTCTGTGTCTTCAATTCCATTTGTGGATCAGACAGTAAGAAAGGGAGGCTGGCCTTCAGCATACCATTGGGAATCTGGCCTCAGGAACTCTGGGGTACCATGCCCACTGATAGTCACACTGTTGTATTCCAGCAGCCAGGTGAACCCTTTTCAGAGCCAGCAGCAGATGCTTCCTTCCTCAGACTCCAAGACCTTGACTCTGCTCTCCCACCTGGCCTGCAGCACATGAAAGCCACAGGTGTCTTCAGCCATATTCTAGGAGAGATGCCTCCACGGCTTCTCTCCGAAAAGCCCTGTAGGGACTCAGCAAGGTTAAGAGATTTGCCCAAAGTCACACATTCCATTTTCTTACTGCTTGGTATCCCAGGGGAAC